CCTTCTTTTGTTGGTCTCTGTTGGTCTTGGCGGCGTTACAGATGTTGACAGACGCTTAGAATCTGGCTAATAGGACATAGGAGCTGCCCTTGGCCAATTTAACAAGAAGAAGAAGAAGAAGACGCTTATGCCCATATTCATAGATGCCTCTTATCTTAAGGATTGAGGAAGCCTTGTTGGAGGAAACCTTATTTGACCAAGGCTTCCTTGTTTCATAATGTGCACTTAATATTTCCTTGCAGAAGGAGCTTGTTTCCTAGGGATTTTTAGTAATTTATGATTAAAACCTGCATTATGTCACAGTTTATTGAATAGTTTGGATAGAGTGCAAATAATTAGGTTATATTTATTTACAGTATAGTAGATAATATAGTAGACAATATAGTAGACAATACAGTACAGTATAGTAGACAATTAGTATACTGGCATAAATGCAATTATGGAGTGCGATTCGAAAAATACTCATTATACCGAAACAGAACGATTGCTCCTTGCTCAATTAATATCAGAAGAACAAATTATAGAAAATAAGAAAACAGGAGCATTAGATTTAAAATGCAAGGCTGAAGCTCGGGAAAGAGTTACTAAAAGATATTGCAGCCAAGGCTTTTCATCTCGTACCAGTAAACAACTAAAAAAATGCTGGGACAATATGAAACAGAAGTATGTTAATCATTTTCTTAATATTTGCATGAGAAATCCATATATATGTTACAAAATATATCAACTCTTTGTTATCAGTTGTTTTTTTACAGTATTATTGGTAATAAATTGGTCAGTGATAAATTATTGCTGAATAATTTTATTACTCATAGAGTAATAAAACTACTAAGCAACAATAATTCATCACTGACCAATTTATCACAGCAGATAATACTTTCTTTGTAAAGGTTGTTTAATATAATGAACATTCATTTGTCCGAAATTATAATTATATTAATATAAGAAGTGTTATTTTAGAAAAAAGAAGTTAAACACCAATAAAAGTTCAGCGTCTCATGACGGGTGGAGACGTTGCACCAGCAATACCTATTGATCCAGTCATGAATTTTATGGATGATGCAACTCCAAGTTTAGATATCGAAGTTCCATGTCCATTTGATAGTACAGCTCAGATGGAAAAAGAATGTAAGATATATTTTTTGTATCTTTCTTTACCATAAACTAAATTTTTTTCAGAACTTACATTAAGTTTATCTAATTTGTTAATATTTCTTTTCAGATCATATAAAAACTAACTCAAACAGGCAATTTATAGTGCATAGTGACGACAAGACTGAAGAGGCAATATTAGCTACAATTGATATGGAAAATGATTCTTTAGAAATAGATTCAGATAAGGAAAATTCTACAAGTTTTATAAGTCAATGTTCGATATGCAATGTTAGCAACATTGATACAAGTAAAACCATAAAAAGGAAACAAGCACCAGCATTAAAAGTTGAAAAAGATTTTTACAATATAAACAATGAAAAACAATTGAGACTGATCAAGCTTCGTGATGCAATTGCACAATAGCGGGAACTTCATGCGAAGAAAATGGAAGTTGCCGATGTGGAAGTCAAAATTGCATTGCTCAAGCTTCTAATGGTTGAAGAAAATGCAAAACAACAGTCTGATATTCCACTATAATTTAACATACATATTTATCGATAGTACTTGCTGTGAATATATATAATAAGATTGTGCGCGTATTCTATTTAATTATAGTATACATATATATTTATTTTATGTATTGTATGTAGCTGGTATGAATTTGTTATAAGAAAGTACTTACGTTTCATTTTAAACGTGCAATCTTTTATAATAGATGAATGTTGATAAAATATTATATATTTTTGTTAGCATCTGATAACAGTACAATGCATAATTTTTTGTTTTTAATTAAAGACTGTTACTTAGTTTTTAAATAAAGGCTGTTAAGTATATTTAAGGACAATTAATAATAAAAACAAAGTTATTTATAAAAACAATAAATACTGTTTACAGGTATGTACACTTCATATTAAATAAACTTTTATTTTTAAGATTTCATTTTATTATATAGATTATATAAACATTATTATTTTTAATTGTAACATGTACGTTGTACATACTAAAATAAAAATGACATTTTTTGTGTTCAATGTTACAAAATTTATACATTTTAATGCAATTTACATATGGTTTACGAAAAATGTCTTGTTATAAAAGCTCTTCTATGTGTAAGTCCAATTCTGTTTTCTTCTCCATTAAACATATTAAACATATCCTCGACAATTTCATCCTGTACATATTCTTCTTCAATTTCTTCTAATCCATATTGGATACATGTATTATGCAAAACAGCAGTAGCACAGATAACTGCAACCGATGTGCTCAATTTTGTTCTTAAATCATAATATAAGCACAGAAAGCGCCGTTTCCAAATACCGAACAACTGTTCGACAATAACTCTGGTCCTGCTGTGTGCATTATTATATCGAATTTCCGCATTATTGTTAGGTCTCAGTACAGGAGTTAGTAAATATCTTCGACATGCATATCCGCTATCTCCGAGTAAAATTCCATCTAGGAGGTCTAATTCGAAACGACATCGAACACTGCTCCGATCAAAGATTTTAGCATCGTGCGCTGAACCAGGATGTCTCACAACAATGTCCAAAATTTCTCTGCGAGGTCCAGATACAACCTATAGCATACAGTGCATATTTTAAGAGACTTTTTTCCTGCTTTTGCGTTTACAAAATACAGTAATAATACTTGCACATTCAATGAAAACCATCCCTTTCTATTTCGAAATATTTCTCCATTATCTCCTTCAGGATTGGAAATGTGTATGTGGGTGCAATCGATACATCCTATTATACCAGGAACATTTGCTACCTCATAAAAACGATTCATATTTTGCCTTTGATGCTGTTGTGTAGAGAAGTTAATATATCGTCCTACATGAGATGCTAAAAGTGTTGATACTCGTGCAACAACACGCGATACCGATGCTTGGCTGTATCTTCTTAAATCTCCGTTAACAATCTAAGCAAAAAATATAATAAATAAATAAATAAATAAATAAATATATATATATATATATATATATATATATATATATATATATATATATATATACA